CAGAAATCTAAGAGAGCGTGAAAAGAGAAAGCAGGAGTGTTAGCGAGAGAAATGAAAAGAAAGAGACGAAGAAGGAGTGAAGAGAAAGAGAGAGAAGAAAAATAAGTAAGACAAATACAGAACGAAACGGAGAGAGAGAGAGAGAGAGAGAGAGAGAGTGCAGAACGTGATAGATATAAAAGGGAACTGAGAAAGAGAGAGAGAGAGAGAGAGACAGACGAGAAAGAGAGAGAAGAGCGAGAAGAGAAAGAGAGATAGTGAGCTATTAGATAGAAATAGTTTTTTGAATCATTTCACCCCAATCAAGGCGGGGATGCCACTAATACGCAGGGAGGTACAGAGAGTGAAAATGGGAGAAAAGACTGGGTATAGAGGAGATTGAAGAAAGGATAAAAAACGGGATTCAAGACAACAGAAGATGGCGATTGACGTTGCATTTTAGTTTTTGAAAATTATAGTTTTCAGGGAAGCAAATAATCGGAAGGGAGTTTCACTGTTAGGAAGAGCGAAAAAAGAAACTGTTGGATTAGAAGTGGCAGTTACATTTAACAATTTCAACAGTAAAAGAATGTGACCTATATGCCAATCTAGTAGCACGCTTAAATTCATGTAGTCGGGGCAGTAGGGAAAAAAAAAGCTCGCCAGAGTAGTTACCATGGAAATATGTGTAGAAAAGACAGATGGAAGCCACGTCACGTCGGTGAGAATGTGGCTGAAGTCGAAATGCCAAGTCAGGATCTTTATTTGTAGTTTGTCAGGAAACTCGAGATGAACAGCAGGGGCACCAGACCAGATATGGCAACAGTATTCAATGCATGGTCGAATAGTAGATTTGTAAAATGTGTAAGATGGACTCTGATGAGAAAAAAAACTTTGGCACGGCACTATAAACCAACTTTCCTCGCAGTAGATGTAGTTGTTGATACAATGAAGATGTTCCACTTCAAGTCAGGTAAAAACGTCAGGCAAGCGAGCAAGAAAGAGAAAAATGAGAGAAGAGAAAGAGAAAAGTAGTGAGAGTTGACGCAGAAAGAGAGCGGGAAGAGGGAATACGAGAGAAGAGAGAGAGAGAGAGAAAAGAGAAAATGGGGGGAGAGGGAGGAGGGGGAGGGGAGTGATAGAAATGGAAAGAGAGAGAAAAAGAATAATCAGAGGAAAGAGAAAGAGGGAGAGATAAACAAATGAATGAAAAATGGAAGAGTATGAGAAAGAAAAAACGGAGTGATAAACAGAAAGAAAACAGAGAGAAAAGTGAGTGTGATGAAGAGATATTCGGGAGAAGAGAAAGAGTGGGGAGAGAAAAGGAGAGAGATAGGGAGAGAGGAGATAGGAAGACATAGAACGAGAAAGAAAAAGAGAGAGAACGAGAATGAGAAATTCAAGGTGAGAAAAAGAGAGAGAGAGAGAGAGAGAAAGAAAAGATAAAGCGATTGAGAAAAAAGTTCAAGATAAGAGTGAGAGTGATGAGAAAGAAGGATAGTTAATTAGAGACGTGAAAGAAAGACAGGGAGAGAGAAAGCGAGAAAGAGAAATTCGTGAGGAGAGAAAAGAGAGAAAAAAGAAATATGGAGATGGTAAGAGATGGGAATGAAAGATAGGAGGGAGAGAAAAATAACAAGAGGCGAATAGAGTGAGAGAGCAAAAGGAGACAAAAAAAAAAGAAAAAAAGAGTCAAAAGATTAAGAAAAAACAGAGGTTGA